TCGTCCAATACAGTATTAGATCTCTGAGAAGCGGTCTGGTGGATTAAATTGGCGAAAACGCTGGGAGAGTTAACCACTGATGAGCCAAGCCCTCCTAATATATTTTTTTATCGCAGTAAGGACAGTAGAAGTTTGTATTATGTATAGAAGAAACATTCGTGCTTTTAAATCCTTTCATTTTATAAGTTTAATCTATGCAAATGGTTAGTATAAGCGAGAGAGATATTTAATCAGTCAAATATACATACCTGTTCTTCACCAGCCAGTAATCCTTTCCATTATCAGTTCCATAACCAACCAGTAGCATAGCATGGTCAAGTGTTATAGGTTCACATTCAGGGTCATTATAAACACCCCCTTTATAATCCATGAATGAATCCAAACAATTGATACCGATTGATATTGGACCTATTTTAACCAGAGCTTCCTGAAGAATATTCTCATTTTTAGCGATTATTTTGTAGTTCTTGCAAGTTGCACCTATTGTTGCATTGTTGAAGCCGCAGGGACCATTCTGAAAAAAAAACGTTTATTTGTTAAGTCTAACAATTTAATTAGATTCAGAGAAAAACGCATCCACATCAACCAATATTTGCATACTAACTTTTATACATATTTCAATTGTGTTGATTTTTTTTTCTTTCTTTTCATCTAACTAACTTGCATACTAATTCTTGTACATATTTCAAATATCTTTATTTTAATGCAAAGTTTAGTTTATGCTGCATTAGCGTGCCATCTGTTATCAAAATACAAAACTATTATAGACGCGTATGATTCTTTTAAAAATAAAATAATATCTACTGCCCTTACTGCAATAGAAAAATTAATGGGAGGGCCTGGCTCATTTTATGTAATTCTGCTGTCCTCAAAGTTTATGTCCATAGTTCATCTAAAATACCCATTCCAAGAGTCTAGCATCAGTATCACTATAAAAGGGATTTCCAAAAATGCAATATAACAGCGGTATGTTTGTCTCGGAGTTTCAGAGACTTTCTGTTATTCTCTTCAGGGGAATGTTTACTTTGAATCCTAGTTCAAAATGATCATTCCCCTGAAGAGAATGATAGAAAGTCACTGTAACTTCAGGAGTTTTTTTTCCGACTTAGAGCGCTATGTCCTACTAGGGACACTTGCGCTTAAAAGATAAACTAAACATTATTGACGCGTATGATTCTTTTAAAAATAAAACAATTTCTACTGCCCTTGCTGTAATGGAAAAATTAATGGGAGGGCCTGGCTTATTATATGTAATTCTGCTGTCCTCAAAGCTTATGTCCATAGTTCATCTAAAATACCCATTCCAAGAGTCTAGCATCAGTATCACTATAAAAGGAAGTTCCAAAAATGCAATATAACAGCGGTATGTTTGTCTCGGAGTTTCAGAGACTTTCTGTTATTCTCTTCAGGGGAATGTTTACTTTGAATCCTAGTTCAAAGTAACCATTCTCTTAAAGAGAGTAACATGAAGTCACTGTAACTTCGGAAGTTTTTTTTCCGACTTAGAGCGCTATGTCCCACTAGGGACACTTGCACTTAAAAGATAAACTAAACATTATAGATGCGTATGATTCTTTTAAAAATAAAACAATTTCTACTGTCCTTTACTGCAATGGAAAAATTAATGAGAGGACCTGGCTCATCAGTGGTAAATCCTCCCAGCGGTTTCGCCTGTTTAATCTACCATACCGCTGTTATATTGCATTTTTGGAACTTCCTTTAATAGTGATACTGATGCCAGACTCTTGGAATGTGTATTTTAGATAAACTATGGACATAAGCTTTGAGGACAGCAGAATTACATATAATAAGCCAGGACCTCCCATTAATTTTTCCATTACAGTAAGGACAGTAGATATTGTTTTATTTTTAAAAGAATCATACGCGTCTATAATAGTTTCGTATTTTGATAACAGATGGCGCGCTAATGCATCATAAACTAAACATTGAAATAAAAGAAAGATATTTGATATATGTACAAGAATTAGTATGCAAGTTAGTTAGATGAAAAGAGAGAGAAAAAAATATCAACACAATTTGAATATGTATAAAAGTTAGTATGCAAATTTTGTTAAATGAAATCAAATTGTATTGTGTGTATTCGAGAAAAATAATTTACAGATTGAAGAAAGTTTTATGGAATATTTTAGAATGAAAATATACTAGATATTAGAGGAATTATTAGACGCTGAGAACTATTTCAGAAAAGAAAAATATAGCAATAGAACTCTATAATTTCTACAGATCAATTGTAAATAGATTCATACTCAAAAGAGGTAGTGAAGAAAGTTTTAGAACAGATGTGTAAATGAATCCCTTTTCAAACAAAGGCTCACGTGCACATGGGGAAAGGAAAGGAAAAATTTACTGTATTATTTTGTTGTTGTATGGCGAATCCATACAGGACAATGGGCCCCAATAAATGCCTTTTTGTTGTTGTTGTTATTGAGAATTATTTAAACGTCGGGAGTTGAAATAAAAACTATTGGTTGATGTTAGCTGTGTTTTTCTCTCTGAATCAACACTTCCAACTAATAAATGATTTTCAAGAATATAATTAGATATTAAAAAGGATTATTACATCACGTGCTAGATAGGGATATGATTCTTCTGTGTCGATTCCATGATTATTGATGATATAGTAATAACTTGTTAACATCGAACCACCACCGCAACCATCTACGGTTGAACAATCTAAAAGATTCTGTTCACTCAGAGACACAAGCTTCCCAGTCTTTCGGTAATGCTGACCCTCCAAGGCTCCTGTTGTAGAGAAAGCCTAACAACTTCCACAATCTCTTTGGTTCTTCACTTCTGTGACATAGCCCTTGGTACGCCAATCCAAAGAAGCAGGAAGCTCAATGTCACCAGAATATTCATAAAGATTTCGTTCTTCCTTGATATCAGAAGGGATCAATCCTTTCTTGTACTTGAGTCTCTCCTGACGAGTCTTGAAACACACAATATTCTGTTAGTGTTTGAATATCACACAGAGTATCAATGGTTATAAATAAGCTCATGTTTGAAAAGAATCTCTTCTATACAAGGTTGTCCCAAAAGTTTGTAAACACTTTCAAAAAAAATGAAATACCAATATTATTCGCCGTTATGTATAATGTCTTTGTATTATGGATAAAGTAATTGTATTATATATTGATATGTTTTGAAAATAGAGCAATCCATAAATAAATATTTGATTAAAAAGGCATATATTGGATCAAAATATAATTTATTTTACCAAATGAGTTGTTGTTGACACACATTGAATATTTATATGTATTTAATACATATTCCCATCCCTGGACACTTTTATTTCTCCGTTCATCAATACTCTTCATATTCACCCTTTCATACCTCATCCAAAAAGGTTAGAAATAGTCAATATTTCACCTTGAAATAAAATTTTGATTTTTCATTGAAAAGAAACTCATGCGGTGTAACTTCAAGTGTCGTTTTACAATCACAGGCCGCAGTGTATTATATTGTATTATAAGTTACTTTATGTATCATTTACGAACGGAAAATACGTCCCGGGTAGCCTAGTGGACATGGCATCTGCCCGGTAAGCGGAACATTGTGGGTTCGTTTCCCATCCCTGGACACTTTTATTTTTCCGTTCATCATTACTCTTCATAATTCACCCTTTCATACCTCATCCAAAAAGGTTAGAATAGTCAATGTTTCACCTTGAAATAAAAATTTAATTTTTCATTGAAAAGAAACTCATGCGGTGTAACTTCAAGTGTCGTTTTGAGATCACAGGCCGCAGTGTATTATATTGTATTACATATTTATATGAAACATTAAAAATGTTATAACACCTTGATAAAGGTTGGCGTTCAGCCAACTGAAATATTGGTAAAAATAAATTATATTTTGATCCAATAAATGCCTTCTTAATTAAATATTATTATGTATTCGACGTAATAACATTATTCGCCAAGTAATAAGAAAAACAACGTTTTAAGAAAAACAAGAACTTTTGGAACAACCTTAGAGTGTACATGTAAGTATAATAATCTACCAGACAACTTCTCAGAGCTCTAATACTATATTGGATCATTCTGCTTATATATGCTGCATTGAAGAGTAGAATCTTAGAAATGGTATTCAAGAAAACTATAGACATAAAGATTTAAGGACTGTAGAATTACATATAAATATTTAATATTAAAAATGGCATATCCTGAGCAGGAGCACATGTGCTTTACAGAAGGCAGAGCGCCATCTGGTGGAACAGAAATCAACTAAACATTGATTTAGCCTGTTCCCGCGATATAAACGCGTTCATGGATGACTTTTCTTGATTTATCAAGAAGTTGTGTTGGCCAAATATCAGGGAACAGGCTAAATCAATGTTTAGTTGATTTCTGTTCCACCAGATGGCGCTCTGCCTTCTGTAAAGCACATGTGCTCCTGGTCAGGATATGCCATTTTTAATATTGATTTCAACACCTGATCTTTTTATCTTTTATTTTTTTTTTCTTTCGTTTTTTAATATAAATATTTATTAGATAATAAAAAGGCATATATTGGATTTAATAAAAGATTTATTTTGCCAATATTTCGGCTGGCTGAACGCCAACCTTTATCGAGGCATTACATTTTTGTATACACAAACTCAGCACCGCATCGAGAATTGCATCGAGAAATGCTCTTCCGCAAACAATAAGTACAAGGCTAGTTAGGCATCAGAATCTTCCTCGTATAATAAATATAATAATTCGTTATATGGAGGTATTTTAAATATGAGAATAATTGAAAAGTTTTTCCTCATTGTTGTTTATTATAAACTAGCGGACGTACCCGGCTTCGCCCGAGGTTTTACACGAGTAAAGGTTTGTCTAACGAACATTTGGTAAAACAATTCTCTATAAACTTATAAAAATATATATATTTTTTGATAATTTGAAACTCGTAAATTTGAATCTCTCGATAAAGTGAACATTTTTTCCCGGCCCCTGTGTGCCGTGTCATCCTGAATTTTGTCTTTCATAATTTTCTACAATACAAAATCATCGTTTTATCTAGTGAACATATTTTCCCGGTCCCTTGAAATATACTCGATAAGTTGAATAAAGTCATGGTCGTTGAATCTCTCGATAAAGTGATTATTTTTTCCCGGTCCCTGGGTGCCGTGTCATCCAGAATTTTGTCTTTCCTAATTTTCTACATTACAAAATCTTCGTTTTATCTAGTAAACATATTTTCCCGGTCCCTTGAAAAATACTCGATAAGTTGAATAAAATCATGGTCGTTTATGGAAGATGGACGTAGTTCCCGGAGGTCACCCGCCCCCCGCGCGCCAGGACCTCTTGATCACTCTGAATGTGATTGGCCGGCGGCCGGACGGGGGGGGGGGGGGGGAGGGGGCTCTTGATCCCTCTGATTGGTCGGTGGGAACTTGGAATGTCCAACCAACTGGCCGGCGGCCGGACGGTGGGGGAGGGGCAGATCTCCGTTGCAATAAAACCTTTCCGGGGATACACCTAATAATATACCAAATTTTAATTTAAATATTTTTAATTTAAATAATTTAATAATATACCTATTATATATATACCTTTGATAATCTCTTTCCAAAATTTAATTTTTTGTATCGCATTTATATTTATTCGAATTTTATATTTAAACGATACTCAGTATTTCTTTTGATTTTTATATATCATATATATCGTCCTGCACAATTATTTAAACTTTTTAAAATATATTAGCCCTGAAAGACTCAAGTACACCTATTAATATCCCAAATTCCAATTTAAATATTTTTAATTTAAATAATTTAATAATTTACCTATCATATATATACCTTTAATAATTTCTTCCCAATATTTTATTTTTTGTATCGCATTTATATGTATTCGTAATTTTATATTTAAACGATACTCAGTATTTCTTCTGATTTTATATATATAGATATATATCGTCCTGCACAATTATTTAAACTTTTAAAAATAAAGTACAATACTTAAAAATAAACTTTTAAATCGGTAACCGGTAACGCGGTGTTGTCAAAATTTAATTTTTAGTATCGTATTTATATTTATGTGAATTGTATATTTAAACGATACTCAGTATTTCTTTTGATTTTTATATATCATATATATCGTCTTGCACAATTATTTAAACTTTTAAAATAAAGTACAATACTTAAAATAAAATATGTTTCTTATAAATCTAAAATTAGAAAATAAACTTTTAAATCGGTAACCTCATGGAGATAGCACTAAAGCACTAATATTTGAATTAGTTTTACTTAATATATTAGCCCTGAAAGACTCAAGGTCATCAGGCGTGGACCAAAACCTAAGCCTATCTCGGTCTCAATGGTGGCTTTGCTTGCGAGTTAAAGCTACAAATCTGCAAATAACTCTAAGGATATTAAAGATATTTAAGAAATTATTTTTCGTAAACCTTTCCGGAGATATACCTAATAATATCCCAATATTTCACGGCGATTGGATGTATGGTTTTTGAATCCATAGGGGACACACACACAGACACACACACACACAGACATTCAATTTTATATATATAGATAAAGATTCTCGTCTCTCCGTTAGTTTTGATTACTTTTTCGAAATGATATCTGTCTATTCTTCCTTTACTATATTGCGTTATATTTCTCTTAATATCATAAGTATATATTGAAGAGAGAGTTTGCGCCTGGTCGGTATTCATAGTTCTTAGAATTAAGTATCTTTAATTTTAAAAATCATAAGTATAGTTTTATATACTCGTATATACAAAAACAAAAATCTTTATTAAGACCTTTTAGACGTATACAGATTCTTCAAGCAGAAATGTAGAATAAATGCAGGAAAAAAGTAATAGTACCTTAATGGTAATATGATATTTATATACAGGAAAAAATATATATTGGCGTTCAGCCAACTGAAATATTGGTAAAAATAAATGATATTTTGATCCAATATATGCCTTTTTATTTAAAGATTTATTTATGGATTGCTCTATTTTCAAAATAAATATATATATAATTTGCATAAAATAATACATATTATTCGTTTCATTAATGTGTTACTCCTGTTGAAGGGCTTATAAGTCTGAAAAATCTTAAGAAAATAAAAATGTATACATGAAACTTATTCCTGGAAGCATTTTTGATTTTATTAAATTATATATCAGAGGGAAGAAAATTATTTTTAATTTATCTATGAATCCATATAGAGAGCATCCATTTATATTGCATGCCATAAAATAATATCAAAATTCGAAACTATTTTAAAGGCGTAAGATTCTTTTTGAAATTAAACAATTTCTACTGCCCTTACTGCAATGGAAAAATTAAAGGGAGGCCAGTAGAAATTGTTTAATTTCAAAAATAATCTTACGCTTTTTAAAATAGTTTCGAATTTCGATAACAGATGGCGCGCTAGTGCATCATAAAATAATATGTTATCCATGTTATCGTAAAGATAGAGGCTGCCTGGCCGGCATTCATAGTTCTTCAAATTAAAGATACTTCGGCCAGTAAATCTTTTCATTGTCTCGACGTTTCAACAAAAATTTTTAGTCCTCGTCAGGAGCGAACAAAAATTAAAACATTTGACAAATCGTTAAAATTTATTCTATATAATAATAAAAATTTCTAAAATAATAAAATAATTTTTAACGCTTTTATCCAAATGTTTTGATTTTTGTTTGCTCCTGACAAGGACAAAATAATTTTGTCTAAACGTCGAGACAATAAAAAAGATTTATTGGCTAAAGTGTCTTTAATTTGATGATACTATGTTATCTATGGTTATCTACAGCTAAATCTAAGAAGGAAATTACTCACCATGTCAGAAAATTCGTTGATACCACGGTAGTATGAGTGTATTCCCAGGTCATATTCCAGATTGTGTTGAACAATGCGATTCAGCCTCTCTTCAAAAATGGTTTTCCTCACTTGATCTTCCTCTCCATGGTAATTCTTGTTATAGAGAACCTGCATAAAATGGTTAATATGAAGCTATAACACTCCATCTATACATAGGAAATGAAAGCATTAAATCACGAATGTTTTTAACACATAAAACAAACATCCATTATTCTTACTGCGATGAAAAAAATTGGGAGGTTTTGGTTCATCAGTTCCTGTTTCCAAAATCACTTTATTAGGTACCGCTCAACAAGAGCAACCTAGTTTATGATATTCGCAACAATGAATAATATGATGCATTAGCGCGCCATCTGTTATCAAAATTCGAAACTATTTTAAAGGCGTATGATTCTTTTTGATATTAAACATTTATATTGCCCTTACTGCAATGGAATGCCCTCCCATTAATTTTTCCATTGCAGTAAGGGCAGTAGAAATGTTTAATTTCAAAAAGAATCATACGCCTTTAAAATAGTTTCGAATGAATAATATATGTGAAGGTTATTCACATATTAAACAAAATATTAACACGGGATTCAATCCCAGTTCATGACTGTCGGGAATCGAGGGTGTTACCCACTCGTCCACCGACTTGCCTTTTGTGTTGATTCATCAGTGGTGAACCCTTCCAGCGGTTTCGCTAATTTAATCTACCAGACTGCTTCTTAGAGCTCTTGATATCTCAACTTTAATATTAATACAAGGAATTAATTTATT